ACGAAATATTAATTAAAATTTCAATATCGGAATTATTTTGATATTATAAAATAAATAAATGAAGCTATCGTTCATTTAAAAAGTTATTTTTTTAATTATTAAGGCAAAGTAATCTTGTTTTTTCAATATTTTGTTAGCTATTTAATTACGATTTAAAAGTAAAATTAAAGTAAAAATCCACACATTTTTTTCAAATTATTTATTGTTAAAAGATTTAAAAAAGAATAAAAAGCATTTGAATTTATTGCAAAATTCTCAAAATTAAAAAATATCAATAAAAATAATGCGGTCGATAAAATTACAATTTTAACTTCTTGAAATTTGAATATATAAATTTTTTTTATTATATTTATTACTAATTTTATACAAAACAATTTTTGAATCAATCAAAATTAATTCAAAAAATATTAATCAATTTATGGATTTTTACTTTAATTTTATATTTAAATCGTAATTAAATAGTTAACAAAATATTGAAAAAACAAGTTTACTTTGCCTTAATATGTAAAAGAAATAACTTTTTAAATGAACGATAGCTTCATTTATTTATTTAATAATAGTAAAATAATTCCGAAATTGAAATTTTAATTAATATTTCGTTTAACAATAATTTTTGTGACATTTTTGTAAATTAAAAAAAATTAATTATAAAAGATGCATTTTTTCTGGGGTTCAGGGCTATTCTACGAATTCGTAAATATGCCCATTGTTATTTTTTCGTCGAGCTACCCCAGTTTAAAAAAAAAAAAAAGTTCTACGATGAATAGAAGCCGAGATATTGCAAAATTTACAGCGCGCACTTCCCCCACCACCACGCCGCCGGCCGCCGGACAGTTTACTTAGCGAGTACCTTCTCTTTAAAGGGCTCGTGAGTCGTTAATTTTCCACATTTTTCAATGCAATTCACGGGAAATCGTAGTTTACGTCGTAAACTTTATTTTGCGAAAAATTCAAGTCTTAATATTTATAAACAATTGCGCTACGATTTTTTAAAAAAAGATTCTTATCTTGGCTCCTGTTGGTCGTAGAGGGCACTTTTTTTATTTTAAAACTGTATTTTTTTTCCAGCTATCCATTGCACCTATTTTCGGTGAGATAGCATAAATAGCAACAATGTTATTCAAATTGTTTATAAGCGAAAAACGCACGGTTTTTTAATGCACAATTTGAGAATGTTAATGTCAAAAAAACGGTGATATTTTTTAATAGGTCGCTTAATTGCGTCTTTAAGATTACAATGACGCTTTCAGAATCATGTTTGATTGAAAATTAACGTCTGTACAGAGGCTTAAAGTTCATAACTTTTGGAGCCTCCGCTATAAACAAATAGAATTGTGCGAAAACTATTGCACCTACAGCGCCCACTTTTGGCACACTTTTAAAGTATGACAAAACCCTCAACTTGTCATAGGTTTTATAAAATTTTAACAATAAATGCGATAGTTATAAACAAATTAAAAAATGGGCACTTTTCTTGTTTTTTTGCAATAACTTTTTTGTTTATTAACCGATTTTAATTTAACCAGTCTCATTTTGTAGATAATTTTACTCCCTATAAGCTGTCTGAGAGTCACTTTTCGCTAAAATTGATGGTTTTCCCTGCAAAGTGAAAAAACTGTTTTCCTCACTTATTTGTTTAAATAGAAAAGTTAGCTAATAAAAGTTTTTGACTCACGAGACGAGAGATGTCTTGTATTATGTTCCTTTAGACAATTTTACAATAATCTCGCGGATAGGACATTTTTCTAGTTTCTCTTTTATTTTCGCTAATTTTCCTGGTGTATAATTAATGGTAAATTCGAGTAGAAAACATATAAGCATATATCTGTAGACTGTCTTTGAATATAATGGCACAGTCCGTTTGCTCCTAGTATTTTTGTCATAAACAGATTGATTGGGATAAAAACCTTCATAAATGATTACAAGCCCGTTACCAGTAATTTTGTTTGGAACAGCAATTTTAGTTCCTTCACGTAAAATAATAAGATCAAGATTACATTGAAACATAATATTCTGTTTCATCGGCTGTGATTGGTGTAATTTTTCACGAGATTCTATTCAACCAATCAGCATTATCTCGAGCGTAGACGTAACGGTTTATCGTTATACATTGTAAACGAATTATTAATATTGGTGATGCCAAGATTTAGGGAATTTTTGTTACCAGTACCTACCAATAGTGCAATGCTGGGTTGCCTAAGCTCGGCGGTTACGTAGCTCCTAAACCATCGAGGTCGTAAACAATTATGAGGGTTCTGTATAAATATTTATGTTTAAAGTCAGAATATTGTGTAAGGAATTTGGTGTCTAGTTAAACTTTTAGTTATTCATGTCCTTAATATTTTGTAATGACTTGTACAATTCTAAATTTTTCAAACTTGGTTTCAAAACATGTTGCTATTGCTGAAACTTTTTTCGGCTACATCTGCCAGCAAGGGAAAAAACACGTCACAACAAACCCACCTGGCCGAGTTTTATACTACAAGGGTTGCTTTTCCAATTTTATTTTTCAGAAGGGCAAATCATAATATTACTTCGCCAACATTGCATTAAACGTGACCACTATTATTTTACGTTAGTTCTAAATGTTTAATACATACCTACATTTAAATAAAACAATCTAAAGTTTTATGTGAACCAGTTATAATGAATGCTAGTCTAGAATAAAAGACATTACATCTGCCTAATAGGACAGGTATCAAGGCGGGCACACGCTGACCAAATGTTTTACAGCAGTTGGGCAACACAGTTCGTACGTGTTGCCAAATAGTTACCAAATTGTTCCACCGTGTTTGATCTGGAGGCGGTATTGCAAAGGAAATTTGGCTCAACGTGAGCAAACCGGGGGGTCAGTGGGTAAGCGCTGCAAATATTTGCATGTAGTTTAATTCTGGCTTCAGTATGACATATATATGCAACTTCCGTTAAAATTAAAAGTGTCTCACTCGTTAGGGATCATTAGAATATACAGTGTGAATTAACTTTAAATACAGAAACTGCAGGAATAGATTCATTACCAAAAAATTAGTAGAGTTAGCTCTATAAACTTTTTTCCTGGGGGGGGGGTGCGGTTTTCGAGATACAGGATGTTAAAATATTTTGTGTCATATCTTCATAATGCGCTAACGGAATTGAATGAAATTTACTACAGATTATTCACTTAATTAGACCTTTTATTGAATACAATATTAAACACCTGGCTTTAACCAGTGACGTACTACTGAAAGTGCCGCCTCATATCACCAAAAAAATAATACGCTGTAGTAAATTTCATTCAATTCCGCGCATTATGAAGATATGGCAGAAAATATATATTTTTTTGTAAATCTTGTACACCCTGTATCTCGAATACCTAGTCCCGCAGGAAAAAGTTTATAGAGCAAACTCCTATTTTTTTGGTAATGAATTCTACAATTTCTGTATTTAAAGTGAAATCACTCTGTATAGATTAAGCTTAAGAAGCTTTATACGTTCAGACGTTCAGACTACTAGCGAATACTATTATTTGTCATCTTCTAACCAACTTTTCTCTCAGGTAACCCAATAGTTGACTAATTACTGCACGTGTGCTCAGTATGCGTGTGCCTTCAGATTTAAAGTGTCGGGGACAGTCATTCTACTCACAAAAATAATTGTACTTTCTTTCTCTTCTATTTCGAAAACTAAATTTTAACGGATAGAGAATAAAACTGCTAAAAAATGTCGTACTGTTTACATAACATCAAAATGATTTTTTAATCAATAATTTGCCATAATATTTTTTCATTTTAGCACCGACTTAAAATTTGGTACTGACACATAATAAACGCCAAATCAGGAGTACCACAAGCATCAAACTTAGGGGCGCTTTTATTCTTAATTTTATTAATGATATAACATTTGATATGATCTGTCAAAAGTTATTATTTGGTGGTAATCTTCAAAATGATTTAAAAAAGAGAAAAGAATGGTGTTTCGCAAATTCATTGAAACTGAATGTATCTAAATATAAAATAGTCTCATACACGAAAAGCGGGACAAATTTAAATTCTGATCTGATTAGTGACGTTGTTCGTTTTATAAAGATCTAGGTATACTGTTTGATTCTAAACTGGCTTTTGCGGACCATATTAACAATGTAGTTCGGTGTTCGGCTTCCGAAACTTTGGAATTAGAAATATGAATGAATGAATGAATGAATTTTCGAATGTTGCTTCAATGAAACTACATATTATATGTGTCACTCATTAGAAGTATATTAGAATACTGATCTATTATCTGGTACCCTGTATATCATAATATTTCTTTAAAAAAAAGGGCGTATACCTTGAGCCAGGTATAGACAATAAGGTGTTACTTCAAGTTTTCCCATTACAGTCATCTTTTTAAAACCTTCAACTTTCTAATTTAAAATTTTTCAATAGGTGCTATATTTTTTTAGTTATTTTAGAAAAACCGTTTTTTGCAACTTTGCGATTTTTTTTAACCATGTTCGCCATTTTGGATCGAGTTTAAAGAATAAGAAACTCAATTTAAAATTTAATTTTCTATACGGTCATATTTTTTTTTGTCCAGGTAATAATTTCTGCAAATTTAACGTTAATCCGTGACAGAATGCTTGGACTATTATAGCTTTTCCTGTAATTGGGTGTAATCTGTAGAAAAATAAAGTTATTATTTCAGTCGATGTAAATCTACGATACTGAACTTTCAATGGCCTAGATAGAACATTCGAAGAATTTTAAAAAGTTTATCGACATACTAAAATTTAACTTACGAAGAAGAATCCCGTAATCTATTCTGTTTAAGGTTTTTGACAGATCTTTGTAAACTACATCAACATGCCCACAAATATCTAAAGTATGAGCAATAAAAATCAGTAATATTAACAAGATTGGATAAAGTGGATCTATTTGCCATAAATTGTCTGAATTAAGAATCGGAACGTTTAAGAATCATAGAACGTGCAGGTAGTTAAATATTGATTTTGTAGGATTTAGAATAGGAGAGTAAATTTTTACCTAGGACTTTCGCATGTCATCACTCCTTTATTACAGGTACATATTTGACAAGGATCTTTTTTAGGAGAAGTTGAAAGTCCGTGTGGTATTTCTTTTTCTTCAAATACGCAGCTTAACTTACAGTTTGATTTGGCCTTTGGGCATTCACATTTAAAGCTCCCATCAATATTTATACACTGAGCTGAGGGATGACACGTGTGAAGATCACTGTCACATTCATTAACATCTGAAATAAATTCAGTTAATAACTTTTTATTCATAGAAGATATACCAACCTATGCATTTAGTTCCTAATTTATTGTCTATATAAGGATTTTCATACCCTTGTTTGCATTGGCAATAGTACCAACCTATCATATTTACACATATAGAGGCATTTGCACACCTATGAGAATTCGTAGAACATTCGTCTAAGTCTCTTTCACAACTTGGTCCTGTATAACCATTAGGACAGGCGCATTTTCCAGGACTTCTGCATATACCTCCATTCAAACAATTTTGTTTACATATAGCTAAAAATAATTTTGTTCATTAAAATAGTTTTCAGAAAAAAGAATTAATGAAAACATAACACTTTTAAACACATCATAGATAATGTAGCAGCAGATATACTATACATGTCCGGTAAGTACCTCCTAATCTCTCGGGAGTGTATAGGGGAGGTCAAAATAAAACTAGTCCTTCCTATAATTTTTTTTCCTAATGTGCCCCCTAACGGAGTTATGGGGGGTCAAAGGGGTACCTAGAAATTAACGTTTAGGGTTATAACTTTGAAACCACCCTGTATATTTTAATAAAATTTTCGTACGTTGTATTACACATGGAGCTCTACGATTTGATGCTAAAATCAACTTTTTGCTATTATCAGGTGTCCAGAAACGGACTGGCCCTATCACAATTTTTCTCAAAATTTTGACAGAAGTAATTTTATCAAACTGAAAATATTATTATTAGATACTCTGAAGGTTTTTCTTTAAAAATGGTACTCTTTATTTATTTCGAAAAAATGAACGGTTTGCGAGATAAATCGGTTTTGAAAAAAATTGGTAACAAATACAACAATTAAAATTTATTTTTTTTACATATTATTTCATGCATTTAATTTCTTTAACTTTATCAAGTCCAGAAATCTTTGAACGGGTTGGCTATACTTTATGAGCAAGTAGTGACCAATTAAAAATAACATTTGAAAAATAACTTACTTACAAGACATGCAACAAAGAACATTCAACAATGAACAAAGGTACCTAAATGTTACTTCGGTAGATGTTCAAAATGAGCACCCCGTACTTCAATGCACTTTCTAATCCTACGAATGTTTTCCCGGTGCACTTGAAATAATATTCCGTGATTATTGCGGAGATGGTCACAGTTCTGTGTTAGCCTCAGCAGAAGTTCCTCTCTACTATTTACGGGTGTTGAATAAACGTTATTTTTTAAATGACCCCACAGAAAAAAGTCTAATGGGTTTAGGTCGGGCGACCTAGGTGGCCATAATACAGGTCCGCCTCGACCTATCCATCGATCACCAAAAACATTCGTCAGATGTTGACGTACTAAACGATCAAAGTGGGGTGGTGCACCGTCATGCATGTACCACATTTCAGTTCTTATTTGAAGGGGCACTTCTTCTAACAAAATATTTAGATTTTCCTCTAAAAATTGCAAATAAAGAGCACCATTAAGTCTTTGCTCCAGAATAAATGGACCAATCAAATGATTCCCGATAATGCCAGCCCACACATTCACCATAAACCTTTGTTGGTAGCGAGTTTGAACTAAAGCGTGAGGGTTTTCTTCATCCCAGACATGTAGATTATGCGAATTAATTATGCCGTCTCTTGTAAAACCTGCTTCATCGGTGAACAAAATAGATGTACCAAAATTATGATTCCGAATATGATGCTGTAAAAACCAATTGGCGTATTGAAGTCTTTTTGGATAATCATCTGGAGACATAGCATGTACTTTTTGGATGTGGTACGGGTAAAGCAATTGTTCTTTCAGAGTTTCATGTACAGCCCATTTTGTAACATTGTTTTGCGCCGCAAGCTTCCTTATGCTATTTGAAGGATTATTAGCAACGTCTTCCAATATTTGTTCCTCTACATGAGGGTCTCGTACTCTCCTCGGGGCTCCTGCTCCACCACGGCGTGGCAAAAAGCTTCCTAAATAAAGGATTCGGAAGAAATTAGTTTCACTAACGTTTTTCACTATTTTTTTTTACCTGTTTCTCTTAAACTACGATCAACTCTTTCAAAAGTTTTTGGACTCGGCAAATGTCGACCCGGAAACCTTTCCTCATAAAGTCTTCTTGCCTCCACGGAGTTGCATAATGCTTCCCCATAAATTAGGTGCATATCAGCATATTCTGCACAGGAATATTCTTCCATTTTTAAATGTTATTTCTAACGGCTTAAAACGAATACCACAATAAAATTGAATTTTTATTCTGTCACGCGCCTTTGACAAGTACTTTAAAATCAACAGGGTCTAACAACGAAAACAATAGAAAAGAACTCCATGGAGACAAGAGCAATAATAATTTGTAGATGTATTTTGGTCATAGATGTTGATTTTACAAGAAACGGCATTATTCATTCCCTTAATTCACCACCAGTAAATGTTTATGGTGAATCTGTAGGCTGGCACTAGCGGGAATGATTTTATTGTAAAAAAATAAATTTTAATTGTTGTTGTATTTGTTACCAATTTTTTTCAAAACCGATTTATCTCGCAAACCGTTCATTTTTTCGAAATAAATAAAGACTACCATTTTTAAAGAAAAACCTTCAGAGTATCTAATAATAATATTTTCAGTTTGATAAAATTACTTCTGTCAAAATTTTGAGAAAAATTTTGATAGGGCCAGTCCGTTTCTGGATACCTGATAATAGCAAAAATTTGATTTGAGCATCAAATCGTAGAGCTCCATATGTAATACAACGTACGAAAATTTTATTAAAATATACAGGGTGGTTTCAAAGTTATAACCCTAAACGTTAATTTCTAGGTACCCCTTTGACCCCCATAACTCCGTTAGGGGGCACATTAGGAAAAAAATTATAGAAAGCACTAGTTTTATTTTGATCTCCCCTATACACTCCCGAGAGATTAGGAGGTACTTACCGGACACCCTGTATAATACAAATAATACAGCAGAAAATACATTTCCTTTGTACTCAGGAACAAAATAAAAAAATATTTTTTGATAAAAATTTACGATACACATTCACTTCCAAGGCAAAATTTTGGGAGATCATATACCACGCCATGCACAGATTCGTATTCATAGATCTCCATGTAATACTTTCATAAGGTATTTAGTAATATTTATTCGGACTAGATTTTTTGCCACGATTTAGGGTTCATATGGTATTTAGTTTTCGTCCAAACTTCAAATGAGTAGGTGCAATATGGATGAAAGGACAAAACGTATATTAGCTGCTTGCAGTTATGTATATTCTTCCGATTATGACAAAAGTGGTAAGGCAACAACGATGTAATATTTGTATGTGTGTATACCATTTCTCGTTGTAATTTAGATCCGTTCGACACTGACGGCACTTCGGACGAATATTTACCAAGTTCTGACGAGTGCCCGTGCCTCAAAATGACATAGACATTGGTAGCAATAGTTTTACGTCTTAAAACGGTCCAGCTTCAAATGACTTCAGTTTTATAGGAAATTGAGGCGTAAATGAAAGTATTCTAGTTGTCAACATATGCATGGATCGCCCTGGGATTTCTATTCCGTATTTATTAATGAAAAAATAATCAATCATATCGTCGGACAAACCAATTTATATGCTACACAACGACTTATGAAAGAAGATCGTGATGTAAGCAGTTCTTCTCGCCTTCATAAATGGGTACCTATAACTGTCGAATAAACTAAAAATTTCATAGCAATTTTGGGGTACATTGGCCTTGTAAAAATGCCTTCTCTCAACTGTTACTGGAATGAAGATAAGAAACGAAACCGAATTGAGATTTATTATCAATGTTGCACTTTTCTGATAATTGTGAGGATTCTGAAAATAGAATCCGCAAAGTATTTATTGAATATTTATTGAAAATTCAAAGCTTGTCAAAAGAGGTCGACTGATAATAAAACAAATAAGACCCACAAATACGGTATAAATGTATTCTGTGCAGTGCAGAAGGTTATATCTGGAATCTAAATGTGTATGAAGGAAAACGTGGCAATAAATTTATGTTTGTACCAACAGATATTATGTCTCTTAGTGAAGGTCTGTTAGATTCAGGAAAGACAGCCGTAACGGACAATTATTATACAAGCATTGATCTTGCAGAAAAATTACTTGCAAGAAAGACTCACCTAGTGAAACTCTGAGAAGTAACGGACGCAGAAATCCAGAAGTTATAAAGAAAAAGTTGAAAAAGAGGGAAATAATATCAAGAAGAGTGAATAACATTACTATACTAAAATAGAAAGATAAGCGCGATGTGCTAATGTTAACAACAAAACATGAAGAAGAGACTATAACAAAAAATAAAAACGGAAAAGAAGTAGTTAAGCCAGCAGCAGTGGTAGAATATAATAAAGGAAAAAACATCGATTGATTTGTCAGATCAATTTTCTAGTTATGGATCTGCTTGAGAAAAACCGTAAAATAATATCGTAAACTAGCACTAAAAATTATATTAGGAAAAGCAATAATAAATGCGAGATCACTTATATGAGAGTAACAGGAAATTATATTTCTATTCTAAAATTTAGAGAAGAAACTATAAGCAACTTAACTGAAAAAGAGCAACGGAAGGTCACATCTTATTGCAGCGAATGCTCAGACCAGCCCAAGTCTTGTCTGGAATGTTTTAACAATTTTCATAAATAGAAGTATGATTTTTTAGTTTATTTTTGATTTTACAACTGAAATGCATTGTAGTTCATATTATTGTTCCTAGTAAATAAATGTTAGTTTTATTGCTTATTGTATCTTGTTTGATATTTGATGTCCGCTGTGGCGCTGTTTATATCTGTATTTTTTCATGCCGCCAGAGGTCGCGCACAGACCGCTATAAGCTAAATGAAGAGCCACGACGCTAAACCACTGGTAAGATAGCATTCATTAAGCGCCAAAGCGGACATTTCAAGCATTTATTTTGAAATGAAAAACGTCCGCTTGACCCGTAGATTCGAGAGGCTAAGCGGACCAAGTGTCGACCATGGCGCTCAAAGAAAATTATTGAGCGGACACTAGTGACTGCCATGGCAGTGAATGTGTTAAAAAATAATTGTTGTAGAGTAAACGAAAATACTTTAAAATTATTTACCACGTTCAGAATTCTTAGATATTTTTAAACAAAAGTTGACCTCTATATTTATTTTATTACACCAAGTGTTGCCATTGCCAGTAATATCCATTGTCAACACAACAAATAGTTCATTTATAAAGATTTTTTGCAGTTTACAAAAGTAGAAATACCTAATAAATGAAGTTATGTTTTCTGTGGAATAATATTTTTTTAACCTTTAATCTTTCATAATATTAGAAAAAAGTTATTAAATGTTTAATTTGAGACCAATAAATAAATCCAAAAAATTTATTGGATTCTAATCCGGAGAACATACAGATCACACTATTAAACATCTATAACCTGTCCTGCATCCTATTTGAATATTGTTCATTCATGTAATAATTGAAATTGAACACTTACCATAATTCCTTTTATCTAATATTATTGTTCTGAAAAACTAAAAGTTAAAATAAGATGTAATGTTGTACCTATATATGTATGTATTTTCAATTCATTCATATTTCATAAATGTTGCATAATAATAGCTGTTTACATTTTTTCCGTAGGACAAGTCTGCCGCGTGTATACGCGGTGAGCATCAGCAGGTTAAGCGCTGTTGTCACGTTGTGATGAAACTCCCCAATATTAATACTCGCTGTATTTTGAAAACTGTTATTCTTACGCCCGGCGCCCACACCCCAGGAATATACAACTTTTTTTTATTTATTATTACCCTATCTCATGCTGAAATAATGGCAGTCAAACTTCTTACACCCTGTAAATATATAGGTAATTTCAAGACACTCAATACTTGATGTAATAGTTCCCTTAAAAGAATATTAACTTTAAAACCCAGTCATTTCTGTACCGTTAGTAATTAGACAATGATGCATTTTTTTACACACGCTGTGCTTCGCTTTGTAGGCATCACTGTAATCCTAAGAAAGAATATCTATTATCCTAATATTTAAAGCCCGTTTAAAAGAACAGAACTGTGATCAATAATTATTTTTGCAACATAAATTACATAAACGTTAAATTCATTAACATTTTTCCCATTTGAAATTCTTTTCTGCCCACTTTCTTTATTTTTGCTGAAAATATAAAATAGAATTAAACTGAAGAATAGTTAGCTTACATACATACATTTTTAATACGTTCGTATTACCAACATTTTAATTATTAAAAAAAAAACTTACGATGACAAGAGTGTCCATTTCCGCTGTACCCTTCTTTACATCCACAATGGTAACTACCTTGGGTATTTATGCATTCCGCATTAATATCACAGTTATGCTCTCCTGAACTACATTCATCTAATTCAGCACAGTTGTATTTGTCTATTCTTCTATAACCTGGTAAACATTCACAAATATAGGAACCAAAAGTGTTTACACATATTGTATTTTGATGACAATGATGTCCTTCCAAACCACCCTCTTCCTGGCATTCATCGATATCTAAAAAATATATTTTTTTAAATCTTATTTACTGAATACATAAATTAAATATGACTTAAAAGCAACTGAAATAGGCAGGTGCTAATGTAAAGTTAGGTACATAATACCAAAAGTTACTCTGAAAACTATTTATTGTATCTTTTCCTATACAGGGTGTGAATAAATAAGTGCGAACAAATTCAGTGGGTGATTCTTTGTGGGTCTTTCATATGAAAAAATCCCTGTGAACCTACAACTGCTTAAAGAGCTGCCAGAAAACTAGTTTTTATTTTTTTCTGAAATATCAAAAAAATGACAGAAATTAAAATTAAGTAGACATTTTCTGCTATCGAGAAGGTATCAGTAAATAATTTGTTGATTTTCCTCTACGATTGCAAGGGGTAGAAAAAGCTACCCCTAAGACTTTACCATTTCAGTTAGCCTAATTCATTCTAAACAAAAAAGGTATTTTTTTCGTAAAATTAACGATTTCCGAGCAAAAATTATTTAAAATCAATTACATTGCATGATTGGCATATGAAAGAAATTTTGTCGAACTGTAATTTATCTAGTAGACGGCTGTAACGTTGGCATTTTGTAGTGGCAACTTAATTCTTGTTAATAAGGTTACGTTCCTCCTTTTTTGACATCCTCTTTAATAGTGAAAATACACTTCACAGGAGATGAGAATAAGTGAAGTTGGGAGTGGACACAGTAATACGCACTTAGTCTGTTATGAGTTTACTGCAATCTGAATGGATTTTTTTATAGCTGTTTTATGTTCAGCTTTATCTTTTGTGAAATAAGCAAAAATATCTACATAGCATTCTAGTTATGTAAACGTAATCTAATATCGTCTTAAAAAATAAGATGATGTCACTGAGACACTAATATAACTCCTTCCTCCGAAGTGATCTCATCATCTTCTGGCGATGGGTTTTGGAAGGTGACATTTATTGCTTCTTTTTTTGGAGATTGCCAGATTAGGACAGTATTGCCTGCATTTGGTATGAACAGCAATGGTGATGATTTCTAAGCATAGTATAATTATGATGGTAATAAAGAGCCAACGGTTAATTGAACTTATGGGATCCGCAGATTCCACATTAAATTGGTCTATTTTAGCTTCTTCCGCTAATTTTCTTAATGAGTAAATGTGGACGAAGTCGATTTCTTTCGGACATAGGGGTGCGTTTTTGTTAATTGAGATATTCCGTAATTGAGGAATTTTGATTTTTGGTAACTTGAAGCAGATTATATTACAGCCTTAGGTTAGTCGCAGGACTGATGGTTGACTAATTGTTAAAATTCCTTTTTGGCAATTTTGAATTTTGATGGTGTCAACAGAGATGACTAGCATACGGTTTTCTTCTAACATTGTAGCTACTGGTTTGGTCATTGCGATATGGTGGGCTTGACAGTTTTCGTGCTTAATATTGGACAACAATTGAACCGGGCAGCTATCGTCCTTCGGTTGACCTGGTGTATTGCGGATGTAAACATCGTGATTTGATACTCATTGCAAGGTAAGAAGTGGTTGAAATAATTGTGAAATTTATATAGGAACAGGGATCAAATAGTAATGGAAAAATGTCTGCTGTTAAGATTAGCATATTGATTACAAAAATAATTAATTCGTCACTAAAATGTGTCGAAGTGCGTAAATATGTATGAATATTAATTTAGGAAATGATTTGAGAATAAATGAGAGGAAGTTCTTCTCGAATTGTATGTAGGTTTACGTAATGAATAAATTTATGGATAAAGGATTGCGATTTCATAGTTCCTAATTTTAACGTTTGTATGCCGTTTCCATTTGTGGTGCCTTTAATTTGAGCTAGGGCTTCCGAAATGATAAAGGATGAGTTCAAGTACGGATTATTATCATGATTGTTTCTTAGTCATCCTCGTGGTCTACCTGAAACAATTTTACGTCTCCTTTTGACTAATTTTTTGTGATAAGTGCCACGTTTTGTTTTTACTTTTTGATCTGATTCGACTTTGATTTCAATAAACCTTGGATTAGTTTTGTTTCTAATTTGGTCATCTTTAATGAAGATTATTCCCTGGGTTTAAGTTGTCTGGATCAATGCGTTTAAGTTTTCTGTACGTTTTCCTTTTTCAATTGAAATTCTATTTTTAATGTTTTGTAGAGTTGTTGGGAATTTTTTGCATGGTTTTCCACATAGGCAGTAATTATGTTTTCCTCGTTCAGAGTAAGGTTTGTTTAAGATGTTCTAATAGGACTTCAAAGGGGGTGTGTTTTGTATTTCTATGGGGTGTATTATTATATCCCTTTATGGTTAATTTCTTTAAATATCGAACTTGGTCTAAAACTGTTAAAATGTAGTCGTTGTACTAGTGAACTTTAAGTTGAGTTATGTAAGGTAATGTTTAGCAATTTTATTTTGTAAAGGTTATAAATGTCTGAAATTATGTTATTCCTGAACTACTTTCACAAATAATTTCTTTTGGTACTTCAACGAAAGATATAAATTTTATTAGAGCTTCCATTGCTTCAATTGTTGATTTTTAAGTAATAGGAATAGGCTTGATCAAATTTTGAAAAAGTGTCTAAGAACATTCGTAATCAAATCTTTCTAAATGTAATCCCCATCTAATAAGTCTCTAATAAGTCTAGTATTTGGTGTTTTTAAATTTGAAAGACATTCTAATGGTTTATGATATGGTAAAAGATAGTAAACTTGCCGCAAATGTAAAGTCTAAAACATTTGCAACACCATACTATTGCTAATAATTATTTTTCAATGGTCACGTAATTTGTAGGGTTTAATGTTCTCGATGCGTAAGCTAGTGGATGTCGGTCTTGTGAAAGCACTGCGTCTATTGCGTAATTTGATGTAGGTATCAGTTGCAAGTTCAAATAGTTTTTCAAAGTCACGGTAAAGAATGTGTTCATTTGATAGTAGGATTTTGCTATGTTCGAAACATGATGTGTATTCAGGGGTTAACTTAAATTTTTGGTCTTTTTTCAATCAATTTGTAAGTGGTTTTGTTATTTTAGCAAAAGTTTAATAAATTTTCTATAATATCCTAGTAGGATTAGGAAATGATTTTATTTGTTTGTGTTTTAGCGATTGGTAATTTTTTGACTGTACTAATTCTATTAGGTTTTTTTAAAATTCCGTCAGGAGTACAATAAATTCAACATTTTTCTAAAGAAATTGTGATTTGTCCAACTGTACTTTTAAATTTGCATTTCTTAGAGATAAGAAAATCTTATTTAAATTTGTAATATGTACCTGCAAATAGGTTGCAAAAACAAATACATCATCTAAATAAATCAAACAAATTTAGTTAATATGTTCACGACAAACGTTGTCACTCATTCTCTGAAAAGTACTTGCAGCATTTTTGAGTCCAAAGGGCATTCTTAAAAATTCGTAATATCCGTGTTCCGTGTTAGAGAGACGATTCTGGTGTCATTTCGATTTGGTGATCTAAAGTAGTGAAATAACTTCTGTCAGTTACTGTTATTTAATTTTCGGTAGTCTACGACAATTCTTCATTTTCTTTTACCATGGGCGAATTATTCTGGCTTTGAAAGTTGATTTAAACTTCATATATGTGGGGATAACGATATGTTTTCGTATAGCAGGTATTTTCGTCTTTAGTCTTAATTTCGTGTTTCAGTATTTGTAAAAGGTAATTTATTTGTTGGATTTTGAAAAGTATCTAAATAGGTATTTTAAACATAAATTGATAATGTCTTGATTTTCTTTGTCATTCAACATCCTGTGTCACAACTATGACTACTACCAATAGCATCCATGATATGCAACATTTGTGTCAAGAATTATTTTACGTACCTATCTGGAGGAATCAACAGTAAGAGAAACCCATCTAAGGATACAGGGCATATTTATTGGTTAGCCATATTTATTTATCGGCACGTAGACTGACTGTAATCTTTTACATGATAAAATACAGAATATTCAGTAAATAATGTGATTCATTTCATTTCTATACAACCTGTATAATACAATTTTTTTAAACATAGGTGCCAATATCTTGCAAATTGGAAATCGACGCACAAATCTAAAAACATCAATTTCATGTTTTTAAATTCTCCCATTCCAAGGTGAATTCATATAAAATAATAAATAATGCCAGCTCAAAACATATTTCATCCTTTTGGGTTGCCAATTTCCAACATTTAACAGCAGCCGGTCTGAAGCGGTGCGTATTGTCTAATTATTAAGGTATTTTTATAGTTATTTTAGCCAATTGCTAATTTTGGAGATATTTCACTTTTTTATCGAAGTCGCTGAAAAAGCATTGTCAAATCTGTTTGTAGGTACCATTAGATATTCGTAGTAACAATACAATTAAAACTAATGAATAGTCTAGTTATATAAATTAATAATTCAGTAATATGTAAAAGTGAAACAACAAGTAACTAACGTGGAAAAATTAAACATTAATAAGAAATAGATTTAATGTAACCAAAGCAAATTTTATCGATCAAAGAAGTTGTATTACTTTGTTCTATTCGCATTTGCAAGCGGCTTTCAAAATTATGAAAATTAGGAAGGCAAACATTGCATGGCTGCAATGAAATATACAATATCTACAAAAAAGAAATTAAAAGACTTGGCTAAACTATAACACTAGATTTAAAATAGTAAAAATAATATATAGATAGTTTGGATTAAATATGAAACAATAAGCAGATATTGAAAATATGGAATGAAAAATTATCTTAAAATTTCACGGTTAAGGCGGTTGACAGTTCCTCTGACTAAAATGTGTCCCGAAATTCACGCAAGAAGTAATTTTGATAGAAAATACATTTTTTATTGATTAATAAAATATACAGTATAGGGTTATGTGTAGTAAGTAGCACATCGGGTAAATGGGTAAATGGGTAAATGGCCTCTATGGCTTTGCTGGCATATACGCAATTTTTTGTCGGAATTTTCCATGTCCGTTTTGCATAGATGCAGCTTGAATTTCATTGATACAATGCTCAATTTACTCCTTCAAGGCGTGGGTGGTCC